TGCAACGCCCAAGTGCTCACAGTCACTCCAACCATCGCACATTTGCCCGGTAGAGCGTCGTACAAACCGAAATGTATGATGATCTGACAACTGCTCCATGGCCACGTCAACGGCGTAGACCAACGTCACAACACGACTATGATACAAAGCTCATTTACCCAGCGGCCACTGTTGGTATTATCCTCTGTATATTGGGACATACGATCGCACACACGCGGGAGATGACGGTCGGTTTCTTGTGCAGTCGCTGCACCGTCTCGTCCGTGTACAGGTTGTCGGACAAGTCAATGTGGCGGAGTTGTTTGCAGAGCCGGCACGTTTTTACTGTCGCCGCCAAGCTTTTATCCGTGAGCTGGTTGCGATCCAAGCACAGCGTCTCCAGTGCGCTGCAGCCAACGAGACCGGGCAAGATGGCAACGATCCCGTCATCAAACAAATCGTTGGCCGACAAGACGAGGTGCTGCAGCGCGCGCAGTGTCGGGAGAAGTGGACTTAACGCGCGGCTGCCTCGGATCATGAGATAGCAGTGCGACAAGTTGAGCGTTGTGAGCTGCGCCAAGTTGGGCCCGAGAAGCATCAGCACATTCGGGCTCGGGTGCCACGAGAGGTCGAGCGACGCGATGCGAGCGGTTGCTAGCTGCGATTTCAGTTGCGTTGTGTATAATGAGGGTGCATGCGGATACTCGATGCGAAGCGCACGCAATGTGCGCGGCAGCGGGCGTTGGACAAAGGCCTCGAGCAGTATTGTGGACTGCGATAAATCGAGGGTGCGCAGCGTGCGGGAGGCAGCGAGCGCCGTTGCGAGGCGCCGTGCGGCCGGCGACAGTTCTTTGCTGTGGCAGGGCTCGGGATCGAGCCATGCAAACGACGTCACGGGCACTTGAAAGAGCCACGCGACGAGCGCGTAGCTACCGCTGTCGGACAAGAGGTCGCCGTGGAACATACTCGCGTGCAGATGGAAGTCGACAATGTTGGTGTCTTGGAGGCGGTGCAAGATCGGGTCAATGTCGCGTCCCCGCCACTGCGGATGATGGATGTGCACGTGCAATTGGGTCGCGTGCACGCAGTGACCAATCGCTGTTGCGAGGCGTCCCAGCGTCAGTGCCGTCAATGGTACATTCGGAGGCTCGTTCAAACCGAGCACGAGCGACTGGACTCGATGCCCATGGTGGAGCAGCACATGGTGGATCTGCGAGACGGTCACACCGTCAAGCTCTAATAGCAGCCACACGGACGATCGAAGCAGCGCTTCCAGTGGCTGCAAGGACGGCGGAAGGCGGTTGAGCAACGTCAGATGCCCTTGACCGACGCGACAATATGGGTGCCAGCGCAAGAACCCGACAAGGGACCGGACATCGGGCTGTGCGCGGGCAGCGTCGTGGAGCGAAACGTGTGGCCATAGAGCGTCTTCTGTCATACACGTCGCCAAATGCATCGCACACTGCAGCGGCGTCGTCCATCGGGAAGCACCCACAGCGCGAAGCAGCCTAAAAAACGCTGCCGGTGACGACACGTACTCAGCAATATGCTCGACAACGACAGCAGGAACAGCTTGCAACGGCTGTGGTTTGCGCACCATCGAGCATGTACCAATGTGAAGACGCACGCGTCTATAGTTGTGTCAACCGACATGCCAGCGGAGAATCGGAATGGCGTCCTGCCAACGGCGCACAGATCTCGCCGACCGCCGTTATCGCGCGCGAAGAAGCGTCTTTTCTTATTGTTTTCATAGATATATAAGAAATGTGCTGTCCTCGCTCCTAGCGTCGTGGCGTGGCACCGCGAGAGACCGCGCCAACGATCGCCATGTGCATTCGAAAATCCAACGTCGCTCTAAAAATACCAGCCAATCCGAAACGTGCAAACGGGCTCGAATTTTTCATGCCAGCCAATCCTTGCGTCACTACGATCTTAGTGCAGCACTACGGTCGTGTCCTTGAGGATTTTGATGTTGTACACAAGGGGCGTGATATCCGCGAGCTGTGCGTCGAGCAAGTGCACATTGCGGTCGTTGTCTTGCACGACCATGCACTTGACGCTTGTTAAATCGTCTGTTGTCGTCGTCGTGACCGACGATGTTTGCAGCATCTTCTTTTTCGCCCGGAGCTCCTTCTCGGGGAGCCCAAAGCATGTCACATGGTTCATAAAAAACCACTGCAGCGTACTGAGGCGGCGCGCCTTGCAGATGAGCATCGAGCCCTTGCTGCCGGCGCTAAGGTCGGGCTCGATACCACTGAGGTAGTCGCACAAGATGGAGCTGCTGTTGAAGATAGCTTGGCGCGCGAGCGAGTTTTTAACGACAAGTTGCCACGACTTGTAGTAGAGCAAGTGGTCGGCCGCCAGAATGACGACGAGGTTGATGGCGAAGAGCACCAAGACTGCGGGGACGGCGCGGAGATAAAAGCTCTCAAAGGCGACCACATGAATCTCATCGAGGGGCTGCGTCTTCTGGTTGAGGTCGTGGGTGACGCTGTTGGTGTACTCAATGTACGGCGGGACGTACACGAGCATAAGCGCACTCGCGTACAGCGACGTGACACTTGTGAGGTTGAGATAGCGCATGATCTACACCAAATATGCGTTCCAAACTTCGTACAGAACAAACTACCATGCTTTCGCCGTTGTAGGACGATGTCGAAACGAGGTTCCAGATCAGTTTGAGCACTTTGAGCACCGCGCAGTTGATCCACAGAAAGCGCATCGTGAGAGCATACGTTTGCACAAGGTATCGAAACGACGGCGCGTCCGCATTGTACAAATTCATGACACGCAAAAAATAGAGGCAGTTGCTCATGTCGAGGAGTACGCCAATCGCAAAGAAAAACACGAAAATGTCGGAATTGTAGCAAAACATGTCAAACCGCAGCGCCAAACTCGGGTACGGAAAGTACTTTGGCGAAATCGTGCGCAAAATTTTCGAAAAAATCGAGTCGAGTTTCAAACTCTCGAAATCGGCCCATTGCACCGTGCGGCGGCTCGCCAAGTAGCCGCCAACAGCAAACAAAATCGCAACCGCTTTCACATAGTGGGACGCCGACGAAAAGGCCGACTGCGGCAAGAGCAACCCGACCTTGTAGACCGACCCGACGTCGTTGACACTGCTGACAAGCTCCAGTGTCTTGGCCGCGTCGTCGTAGACCATGGTCGCGCGACAATGACCAAACCCGAGCTCAGGAACCGGACTGCACCCGGTGCAAAAGCTCTTTGGAAATAGCTTGAAAAATCCAATCCGCGTCGACTGGAGGCGTGAATGGTTGGCGACCGAAACACCCGTTGTGAGACGCATGTCGGTGCCGGTGCGACCGGGTGCGTACCCGAGACTCTGGAGCACATCGTCTTGCATGCTTGCATTGGCTCTCATCTCGGTCGTAAACAAATGCGAGAGCGCACTGCCCTTGTAATACGTCACGGCGTTGGACGCGACACCGAGGTACGCAGTTGACGATGCGACCATATCAAAGGGGTACGTGGCCACCAGCATCTTGCACTGATCGATGCTGGCTGAGAGCGGAAACGACCCGACCGAGATGAAGTAGACATCCGGGCTCTTGGTCACCATCGCGTGGACCGTATGGTTGATCATCCAAAACCCGATCTTGGACACATCGTCCAACCCGCTGGCGACTGGAAAGCTATACTGCGCCGTGAGGTCGGATGCATGCGAGACGGTCGCGAGGGGCGTCAAGAACGCATAGGCGTCCCCGATGTAGTCGTTGATGGCCCAGTTGTTGGTGACGCTATCGATCGCGACAAGCAGAATAACAACAAGCCCGAGGAGCATATCAAAGTGTCGCAAAAGCTTGGCCACACGCGCGCGCGGCGGCTTGACTTGAACCACATACGACGTCGGCCCATTTGGCGCCAGCGGTACCATAGCCGGCCTCGTTTCGCGCCGATGGATTTAGCAAGTGCCAACCGGCGCGTTTCCAACGGATCGGTTTCGTGGTTTTGGATAGTACAGTATCCAGTTTTGGATAGGCGTACTATCCAAGTACACATCTACTTCCGTCGTTCATCTCGTCGCGGGTCGTGTTTGGGAGATTGACAAGTCGTATGCTCTCGGTTGGGGTCGATAATGGGAGTGTATTCCTGCCAGAATGGATGATCCAGCTGCCTCGAACGCCGCGCTCGGGCGTGTCGATCGATGCACTCTCAGCGTCGTTTCCGCGTAAAGCCCTGCAACGACGGAGCGCGGGCGCCATTTTGACCGGTCGCATCAACCGCCGTTGGGCTAGACCGGCCAAGTCGGCATTTTCAAAGTAGAATTGTCTGCAAAATGCAACTTTTAACGTAGCGACATCGATGGTCGATGGTCGGTGGATCCTCGCTCATAGACCAAGTAGTATACCCGTCCCGAGAGATCTACTAGAGTCTGCATCGTGCAAAACGTAGCAACTCCGCGAGTCTTTTTTCTGTGTACAGCAAACCCATGGTATATATATCGTGTAATTAATGTATTCACAATGGAATTTCCGAGCTGCCTCCGTTGATCGTGACGTTAACGCTTCGATTGCATGGGCCACCCACGTCAAGGCGCGACTGCGGACAGCTGCAGCAGCAGGAAGACGCCGTGCATGTCGCGGCCTCGAAAGCGTCCCGAGCTCCATGTATTTTGCAACGGTCTGGAGATGCAGGACACGGAGCCGCATCTGCACTTGGGCGTTAAGGCACAGAGGCCATCTCGGGGTCCTGGGCCAAGAACTAGGTCGTGTACGGCGACCAAGGCCGTTGGAGCTCGGCGAGACGCCAAGATGGACCGTTGTCGTGGGCGTGTCCGTGCGGCCAGGGCCAAGAGGTTGAGCGCATCGAGCTGGCGCAGCGCTTGCAGTCCGTCAACGGTTCACGTGCGACGTCCGGAGCTGATACAGAGTGGCGTTAGCGCCGTATTGTGCAAAAGCTGAAGAGTCGGCGCTACTGGCAGCTGAGCTCGAGATGACGCAGTGTACCGTCGAAAAGGGCTTGCGCTAACATAGTCGTGTTGACCCTCGCGAGTGTCGAGATCGCCATCGTCACAAGCAGCGCCTCGGGATCGATGGACCGTAGCATCATCTGCCGAGATCCAAGCCATAGCGCCACATGGTGTACGCTCGCGACCGGAAGCAGCTGGAGCCCCACCTGGTGCAGATGGACGTCTGACAAGAGCGGCGTCGTCGCGCCCATCCGGTGGCGCTGTTGTGACCTGCAAGTGCAGCGAGACGCTTCGCGGCAGCTCGGGACGCACGAGGTTGCGCGTGTCAAAGGGTGTACATGGCGGCGGTCGTACACGTGTACTGTATCGTAAAGCAGCGGCGTGCCCGTGACGCGCTCGGGCGTGCGCGACAGCATCACGTGCGCAGGTGCAGCGTGGGCCAGTAGTCACGTAGTGGCAGGAAGCCCACGAGCTCGGCGAGCGCGGCCAGCGTCGAGGCTGTGCAGCGCCAGCGTGCGCAAGAAGCCATGCACCATCTCGGGCGCGTTCGCGAAGCACAGGACGCGGCGCGCGCTCGGGCTGCAGCGGCGCGATCGGACCGTCCATCGGCGGCGTGACCACGTGGCAAGTCGGCGGTTGGAATTCTCGCATCAGCGACAAAATGTGGCTATTAGTGGCGAAATATGGCGCATGCCATATTCAACAAAACGGTTGATTTCTCAGGCTGTAGCTCTCGCACAAGGACAGGACATGGCGCGAAGAGGTCCTCTAAGCGTCTTCTATCGCCTGTCAAAGCTTGGGCGATTTCATTTTCAGACGCGATCGCCGCTGTTTCCAGCGTCAGCGCCCGCGCCGTGGCATTTCAACCGATCGTGGATTGGCTAAAAATGAAGAAAAAGGCGCAGCCTGCATTATTTTGTAAAATCTTTTTTATGATGAGAAAATTGTATGGCCACCTCACAGCTTTCAATTGGCATATGCCACGTCTGGGCTGCCGAATCGTGGTCGACATTCGGCACTTTGTTCAAGCTAGGCGCTGCGGGGCACTGCTGCTGCTGAATGCTACCAAACGAGGAAGGCCCCAGAACTAGCTATTTCATAAACGCAGCTCTAAACCTCGACATCAGCCACGAATGGAGCCAAAATGGAACAAAATTCCATCGCGCGTCGAAGCGTCTCATCCGCGTTTGCTGCTCAGTTACTGCACACAGTGGTATCTATAACTCTCGGTGGTGATCAAGTCCATCGCCGCTCGTTTCGAGTGTTTTTGCAATACTTTAACCAAACCATTGAATGTCGTGAACAGCATTGTCCATACCGGTATCTCGTTGTCCACAGGACTGTACAAATCCACCAATCAAATCCGACGAATCGGTTCCTTTTCGTTGTTTTTAGCCAATCCCATGCCATCACAGCCAATGGCAACTTCAACAAGTAGCTGGGTCTGGCGGGAATGGGCAATGCCAGATCCACATTCGCGCTCTGACACCCATGCGTTGGTTGGCTCTGCTGTGCTTGACCCTGTTGAGCACCGCGCAGGTCATCGACGCGGCCGCCTGCACCGACGACGAGACGACGGCGGCGCTTGTGCCGTACAAGGCCGAGCTCGCGCTCAACCTCGCGCTCTGTGGCAACGACGTCGGCTACTCGACAGCGGCGATGGCCAACGGCGACTTTTTCTCGTCGTCGACGACGACGCCGGCGCGCGTGTCGGCCTTTCTCAAGAGCACCAACTGCCGCGCGCTCTTTGTTTTGTATCAAAAAGCCACGAGCAACATGGGATGCACGACCGGCTACCAAGGCGTCACATTCGAGCAGTACGCCGCGACGCTGCTGCCGGCCAGTGGTGCGACACCGACGCCGACGACAGCCAAGCCCGGTACAGCCAACTGCACCGACAACAGCACCATGACGGCCTTTGCCGCCATCGAGCCCGAGCGATCCCGGTTCCAGTCGCGCTGCGCGATCGACATGGGCGACATCCCAGTCGCGTACCTCTACAACAATACGCTCAAGCACAAGATCACCGATACGCAATTTGCAGCGTTTTTAGCCAGTTCCGACTGTGCGGCGGTCGTCGCGGTCGAGAAGAAGGCGTGGGGTGCGATCACGCCGCCTTGCGTCATGTACGACGGTGCGCTGGCGTTTACGACACGCGAGATTAGCACCTGGACGTTTACCGAGTACGCGCAGCGCTTTTACGAACGCAACATCCCGTCAACGACGTCGCCAGCGTCTCGAAGCCCAACGGACGCGCCACGCACGAGCACGAGCACGACCGAGGCGCCTCGACCAGTCGCGCAGTCGGCCGCCGCCCGACGGCCAACGAGCGCTCTACTCGGTCTTGCAGTCCTTTTCGCAGCGACATGGGGTTGTGTGAGCTAGTTGCCCACGGCGAGAACAAATGTAAACTTTATTTTCTTTTCAATTTCTTCCACGAGGTATTATACTAATAGTTCAGGGAATTCCAGGACGACGACGCTATGTAGTAGGACGCTATGAGCGTGTTTTGCGTTATCCTTTCGGGTCCAATACACGTTTCCTACAGAGAGACTGGCAAACGTCGCGCAGATTCGTGGGCGGCTCTAGCTCCTTTGGAGTCGCCGGTGCACGCTTGCGCCCCTGGCAATTGCCCACGACACCACGGAGGTGGGTGGTGGCGAAGGCAACAAGGCAGTGCGGTGCCCTCTAGCTGCACTGGAGCCATTAGACGACCCGTGAGAATCTTCCGACGATGCTAACTTTGCCAACACCCTTGCAAAGGCTGGTGTCGAAGAAGTTCGTCGCGCCTCGAAGCTTTGCCCCCTCTCCAAGTGATATGGATTGCTATTATACATCGTATCGTGCCAGCTCCGATTGTGGTCTGCTGGTGTGTCCACCTCTCTCGCACCAAGCACAGCTCTGGCTCTGGCTTGCAATAACATGGACGGTTGGACTAGTCAAACATAAACACTGCGATATATATATTGTATTGCTCACACAAGTCACCATGGCAGCGGTCAATATGTGCCACATGTCGACACTTCACCACTTCCACTGGACGCACCACTGACCACGGAGCCCAATTGGAGTCGATTTGCTCGCCTTCCACCAATCCGACGACACGAAATCGATCTTTTCAGCCAATCCATGCGCGCGGTCACAGCCGACAGCAACCAGCTACTTGTTGAAGATGCAGTCGCACCAAGATCGAAGTGCACTTTTTCTTTGAGCGAGCCATGCATTGGTATAGCTATCGTTGGCTCGCAGTGCTAAGTCTCTTGCCAAGCGTGGATGCGGCAACGTGCACGGACGCCGAGACCACCGCCGCGCTTGCACCGTACTCGACCGCGATCACCATCGACATTCAGCTCTGCGCCGCCGACATGGGCTACACGCGGGCTGACCTGCTCGCTGGCAAGTTTCTCTCATCGTCGACGACACCAGCGCAAGTGACTGCGTTTCTAAAGAGCGCCAACTGCCGAACGCTCTTCAACTTGTACCAAATCGGCACGAGCTCGCTCTCGTGCTCGACGGGCTACCAAGGCGTGACGTTTGAGCAATTCGCCGCAACGATCATCCCCGGTACGTCGGCCGCACCGGCCACAAGCAAACCGGCGACGGCCGCGCCAGTGACGGCCGCGCCAGTGACAGC